CCGGCTCGCACTTGCCGATGCAGTACTTGACGTTGCACTGGAAGATGACGCCGTAGGACTCGGTGAAGCGGAAGGCCTCGTAGGAGCTCTCCAGGGCGTTGCCCACCTGGTAGAAGCTGGGGAAGATGGAATTGTCCACGGGGCAGCTGAGGAAGAGAAGAAGAAGGTTTTGTGGTTAATTTGGCCTGTTTTAAGAAAATTGTTCTTTGCTTTACCCATGCTCGTCAATAATCTCAAAGGTACTGCGCGAGTCCTTGGCCATGGCCACACAGCTGCGGGCAAAGATGCCGTACGGAGTACTTTCGGGAATTTCAATGCGGAAGGAGAGGCGGTCTCCAATTCGGACAGTGGACGCCTCGCGACCATCGCTGCCAAAAATCATGATCTTGGGCAGCGGTGCCTCGGGGGCGCTGGTAATCTGCAGCGTGTCCGGATCTCTGTATGGTAATTGGAATGGTGATATGATCATTGGTTATTATCATTAGTACATAGTAGTTCACGCATCAGTGCGCGCCCACTACTGTTCACTACTGTTGCTGTGGTTTACTCACCTGACGGGCATCATGCCAAAGGTGACATTTCTCGAGGTAGTCTCGTAGGTGCACCTCACGTGGTACACCTTGTCCGCCTTGGTGAGCACGACGTTGTGGTGCTGCAGGACGACGGTGTTCGTGTACATGCCACCCTAGAGAGAAGGAAGGAAGGAAGGAAGGAAAGAAGGAAGAAAAAGATGATGATTGTGGTAATTGGTAATTGTCATGCTGCAGAGAGAGGCTCATCATGAGAAGAAGCTGATGACCATTTGCCTGAGCAGTGTGACTGCCTGTGCGCATTGTCTTAAATACGATTATTATTTCTTCCTTCTTTTTTCCTTATTCGTCTGTTCTAAATTATGATTATGACCACTACTACCACCACCACCACTACCACCACCACCCTCACTTACCACTGATTGCGTGTTGCAGTCCTGGCCACCGAGGGAGATGTCCAGCGTGAACTGCTGATTGTTGCGCACATTGAGATTGCACGTCTCACTGCGACCGAGGGCGTAGATGCGTCCGTGGAAGGGCCGGCTGGTCTGCACGTTGACCACGATCTTCGTGTCGGTGCACTTGAGGGCCACCTCGTAGCAGACGCCGTAGGAGTCGCAGCTCGGCTCCAGCGGATCGGCGACGCTGCTGGGCACCGCCCCTCCTCCGCTGCTGGCACTGGCACTGCTGGAGATGGTGCTGATGGTCGGCGGAAGTGTGGGCAGCGTGGGCGCCATCGAGGGCAGCTTGGAGACCAGTGAGGAGGAGGAAATGGAGGGAGTGTTGCCGCCGCCGATGCTGCTGCTGCTACCTACTCCAATGGCACTGCCGATGCTGCTGCTCACCGAGGCGGCCACCGTCGTCGGATCGCGATTTGAGCCCTGCTTATTTGTGGTTATGGTGTCATCTGGAGGAAAAGGTGAGGGTGGAGAAGGAATTTAGGGTTAGTGAAATCATGATGAATGTTTGCTGTATGAGGGAGGAGAGAGAGAGAGAGTTATGAGCAGTGACCGCTAATTGCAATTAGCACCACTGACACGTGATTGATGTGTTGGCGGTGAGTGAACATGTGAGTGAGTGAGTGTCCGAGTTAAGTGAGTGTCTGTCTGTGTGGAGGCTGTCCGCTATTAATTCACCCGCTCGCCCTCAAGTGGTGCTATGTAAATATGGTAATGGGGTAATGGTAATGGGGTAATGGTATTGCACTCACTGGAGCAGCCGGCCTCAAAGTAGGTGGCACTGGAGTCGCCGCTGTCGAGCAGCGGAATGGGACTAGGTGTGGCGAAGGTGTCCAGCCCGTCGGGGAAGGTCTTGTGGTCGAGGTGGTAGAGGGCGCAGTTCGGCTGGCCGGGCTTGAAGCTGGGGCGGAAGAGCACCGACCGGCAGATGAATTCATTCTCGATGGTGCACGCTCGCAGACAGCCGCCCTGAGATTTTACCTGAAGTGGAAAGAGAGGGAGAAAGAAAAAGGATTCAGTCAGTCAGTCGGTCGGTGGAGGAAAAGTGGGCCAGTTTGCTGGTGAGTGAGCAGTGAGTAAGTGAGGGAAAAAGATCTACTTCTTCACTACTGCTCCCTCGCCAACTGGTAATTACGGTCAGGCGAGGGAGCCAGCATTGCACACCACAGCACCACCACCACCAGTCAGTGAGCACACTTACGAGCAGTTCTTTGTCGGGGTAGTAATTAAGCTCCACGTAGTGTGCCACCTTGCTGAATGGCATGCCGACCTTCGCGTAATCATAGATTCGCTGCTCCTGGCAGACGTCTTCGGCTACAGAAGAGGAGATGGGAATGGGAAGGAAAGAGAGAGAGAGGGAGAATTAGAGCAGCCATATATTTGAGGGGAAATCAATAAGCAGGGATGTGATGCACTTGAGGATGCAGCTAAAGTATTCGGACTGGGCTCTCAGAAGCACTGTGTCAATTGAATTTCAGAGGCAGAGGGAGCCAAATTAGGGAGAGCAGCAGTAGAGCACAACTGCTGTTGCTGCTGCTACTACACAACAACGACGACAACAACAATTGCCTTTGTCATTGAAAATGAGGGAGATAGGGTAGTGCTGCAGTAGTTGGCAGCAAAAGAGGACTTACATCGGAGGCAGGAATTCTCAAAGTAGTCAATTCCCGTTGCGTCCACCAAGTCTTGCGGAAAAGCGCCCGGCGAGCGGCGGTCGTACTCGCTCAGGTGACACTGCATGGTCAGGTAATTGAATTCCACCGAGCGACAGACGAAGCGCACCTAATTGGGCCAATTGTGAAGTGAAGAGTAGTAGAGTGAAGAGTTAGTAGGGTGAAGAGGAGATTGTTGGCAGTCGAGAGAGAGGGAACAGGACAGGCCAATTGATGGGGGTGATGGGGTGATGGTGCTGGTAGTAGTGGTGGTCTTACCTCATTGAGACAGGCCGCAAGACAGGCCTCTTTGTTGGCGGTGAAGATGATGGCGTTATCGAGGCCACGCAGAATCTTGTTGGGAAAACGCTCGAATGACCAGAGTCGATTGCAGAGGTTGTCTACGCAAGAAGAAAAAGTGAATGCAGTCAGCAGGGCGCCAGTGTTGTTGTTGTTGTTGTTGTTGTTGTTTGAATTTTTGTCAGCTGATTCTCCAACAGCACTTACCCGTCCTGAGGTGCATCTTGCTGAAGAAGTACATGTTGACGGCCTTCTGCAGCGAGGTGCTCGAGTAGGAGCCACTGGAGACGCCGGTGTTGGTTGAGGAAGAGGATGAGGAGGAGGACTTCTTGGAGAGTGTCTCATTCTGCAGTAGACAGGTGGTCTCCTGAATGGGCGTCAGCGGATTGACGACAAAGCTGAAGGCGGCCGCCGTGCAGTCGCCCTCGTCGCGGCACCAGCCCAGGCACTCGTAGAGGGACACATTGCGAATGGTGTAGTATATCGTGCCCGGGTAGTCGCGATTCGTCATCTTGTCGAAGGTTATTCGGCCTGCAGCAGTTGGAAACGGTAAGTAAGTTGATGTTCAGTCTAGAGTTTGTTGAGCACTTACCAAGTGAGGGCACAGCGTAGAGACTGACAAGAAAGGTGAGCAGTGCCAGGTGAGAGTACCTGGCCTG